GGTAAATCTCTGCCAGGGAAAGCAACAGCAGTTGTGATCTCGAATAAACATTAATGTACGTTCAATATGGTTGAAAGGTGAAAATCCCAGATTTAAGAATGAAAACTCTAACAGAATCGTAACACTTTTAAGACTAAAACCTGGTAACAAACAAAAGAGAAATTCTACATTTTTATTTTCTCTAATTTTTTGTAGTCATTTCCAAGAGGAAAAGCAATTGCATCAAAAGCAATTAATATGTGTGTGTTCATTCTATAAAATATATTGAATGCAGAACATACGCTGACATCATAGATTGTAATTTCTCTTTTAAAATGTCTATTCTTTGTTCCTCATCCTGCTCAGATTCGTTTGTATGTTTAATTTGATGTATTGTGAGTCATCCCATTGATAGCTTATGTGGTAGCAACTTGTGCTGTATAAGTCTTTGTGGGGTTGCAGCTTTATGTTGTAAACTCTTTGTGGTAGCAGCTGTCTTTTACTCTGCATCTAGAATGCCTAAAATAATGGTTCCCAATGCAGATGGCTAGCAATGTCCACACTTATCAAGGTATTTTGTTTCCTGAAGTCATATTAGGTACCTATGGGCATTTTCTAAATCGCGTAACTACCTAATTCTCTTTGAAATCCACAATGTCATTTTGAACCAAAAAATAGAAATATGTCATTCGGAACATGTCAAAAAAGTTTTTGCCTTTTTTGAGTTTTTTCCAATTTTTTAATTCCTTCCAAAAATTGTTACCAAATTTGTATACATTTTCAAATATTACCCAAATCAAGCCATTGTTACTTCTGGATTCATTATCTATGAATATTTGTAACTGTTCTAATTCATAGAAAAGCTTCCAAAACTTGGATGTGTCTCATATTTGTCCCAGAGTATAATGGCTATTGTCCACTGTTCTCCATATTGGCTGTAACTCACTGGGTGTGACTACACAAGACACTTTACTGCACATTAGACTAATCTAATGCATAGTAAAGTGCCAGCGCCTACAGGTGTGGGGGCCTTACTGTGCAGTAAATTAGGCTAATGAGCCATTTTCTAGTACCAACAAAAATAGGTACTAAATTAATGATATATTAGCTATTGAGCAGTAGCGTATGTGTAGATGTTGACTAGGAGCAAATTACACCCAGTCAGCCTAGCTGGCAGGTGTCCACAAAGGGTGGGGAGAGATGTCTCAGCTCAGCAGGATGCTCTTTGCCAGCCACATGGGGATTAGGATCTTCCTGATCCCCACATGGTTGGAAGAGTCATCCCCCCCTAGGCAGAGACGCTCCCTGCCAGCCAGGTGGGGATCAGGAGGGGTAGACATGCAGCTGGCAGGAAGTATGGTAGGCAGCATCCCCACTGAGGGAGACAGTTCTCCAGGCCATGTGGGGATAGGGACCAGCCCCTGTGCCCCTTGCCAGCCCCAGGATTGGCACCCAGGGGAGCTTGGAGCTCCCCCTGGCTTCTGCAGGAGAACAGAACAGAGCAGGAGCAGCCCTGGACTAAACTGCTTCTATCAGGTGCTATTTGCTTCTGATGGGTACACGTATGCCAGAGCTTTTAACAAGCCTGAATTTTCTGAAAAGAATATACAGGCACTTTAATTGCACAGGTACATGAGCCCACTATTTCCCATGCAATCAATATCTGCTATCCAATCAGGGACTAAGACACATGCCACAAATATTCAATCATAGCCACCTAGTGTGGTCATCTGACAGGTAAAGTCAAGTTCTGAAATGGTCTTCTTTTTCAACAGCCATATGGCATCTGATCTACAGTAAAAGACAATGAACATTCCTTTTCTCACCAGCCATGGCTTCTTGGGACTTCCTAGGAAAAAAAGAGGGGAGGGTAGTATGTCCCTTGTCAAAACTGCCACCCCTTATGGCACATGTACTATGTCCCTTGTCAAGCACTGTGTATATGAGATAACTATGCACTTAATCCTTGTTCTTCCCTCTATCAGAAACAAAGTAGGAGCCACTCTTGGCCCTACCTCATTTGTGAGATAGGATGTGTTTAACGGCAGCACTGCATGCCCACTCTCAACTTGAGAGGAAGGGCAAGGCTGGATACTACTCTCCTCTTGCAGGCTTGTGCATATGTGCAAATGAGCCTGTGTGTGGGTACTTCTATTGGCTATCTCTCTGCATGGCTAGGAGAAGGGAACAAAAGTTCCTTGTGGTGCTCACGAACAGATTTGGTGAGTCATTGCAGAGGAGGGAAGTTCTGTTAGAGGCTTTTTATATTGATTTGTTAGCTGCTAAAAGGCTGCTGAGAACAAGCATGTTGATTTGCTGGTTGAGAGGGAAGGTTGAATTGATCTGATGTCACAGTGGTAAATTTTGTACATGAGGGGTAAGTATTTCTGATGGAAAAAGAGCTTATTGAGTTATTGGCTAACTGAGGGGAAGAATTGATTGGAATAGGGGGTAAGGAATTGATTAACTGCAAGAATAAGTTGCTTTTCAAAATGTCTGGTACATTTTGAATATGTACTTATTCCTCATGTGGCTCTCCTTTATGAAATGAGTAGGGAATGTGACTTGGTCCATTGTTGGCTCTCTCCTTGGAACCTCATTCTGCCATTTCCTTGTACTTCTGAAAATAGTGAGGCCTGCTACCATGTGGGACTTTTAAATATTCCCTTTGTAAGCATTGCTGGAAACATTCTCAGTTTAGTATTTCTAAAGGGTTTGTTTGGTTTTTTTCTTATTTTCCCCTGAAGTTGTGATTTATTCCATAGTTTAGTGAGTTTGCTGGTTTGTGTTCCTTGTCATTCACTTATGGTACCTAAGGCCAGATTTTTTAACCAAGTTAGACACCTAACTCTCTCTGTAGTCACAGGATTAGGTGTTTCCTTGCTCATTTAAGTGTTATTGTCAAACCCAGTAGACACCTAATTACTTTTGTAAATTTGGCCAGTACATGGAACAGTGGCTGTCTTTTTGCTTTGTATTGGTTCAGTGCCCAGAACAACCATGGTCCGTGCTTAGGACTTGGGTTTCTAAGTGCTAAAACAATAAAAATACTTTTTAATGATAAATGAGTTTAGTTGTATAAATATTGAATAAAGAGTATTTACTAAAGAAATGTTTAGTTTCCATTGGGTTTCTATATAAGGTTCATATAAAAAAGAGGGACAGAAATATTGTTTTTCCCATTTTACAAATGAGTCACAGAAAACCTGAAATAATTGGTCTCAAGGATCTGAAAACTGTAACTCATTAGGGTATGGACAAGTAAAGTACAGCAAGTCAAAAAGCTGGGAGGTACTTACCGCAGAACAGCTGATACATGACAACTATCTGTGTGCCCACTACTACCCTGCAGCAAGGGAAAGATAAAGGTGAGATTACACATTACAGTTAGCATGTGCGAACTCTAAGGAACATTAAACCTGTGTTAAACTTAGCGCATTCTGTAAGCAGTTGCACATTAAGGGTTAATACCCTCTCATGCACTGCTCAGATGTGCTGCAAGAGGGCTGGTGAGTAGGAGCATGGCCAGGAGCTACAAGTCTGCTCCATGCCTGCCCCATTTGCTGGCTCTCTAGCAGCAGTATAGACTGGAGGAAAGGCCCGCCCATGCTGCTTGGCAGTGGGGAGGGGACATGGTGAGTGGGGTGGCGGGGTGAGTAGATGCTTGGCAGAGGAGGGGCCAAGAGAGGCAGCTTGAGCCTGATCTAGGTGCATGGGGAGCTGCTAGGCACACCTGTGGCTGCTGGACAGTTCCCTGCCCCATCCCTGCTGTTCCCCTTTCCCAATGGGGAGATTCTGGACAACTATGGGACCTAATGGAGAGAGCAAGGGGGCAGCATGGATTTGATCTGGGGTGCAGGGAGTTGCTGGTCCTACCCACTCTCTCCCAAGGCAGCCCAGCAGCTCTCTACCCATTCACTTCCTCCTATTCTGCCCTCTAATCCTACCTCCCTCTCCCTTACCCGTGTCCTCCTCCCCTTTGAATCCCACTTTACTTTTTTCCCCTCCCACTCACCTGATGCCTAGCCCTACCTAGCTGTCAGTCCAGAATTGTAGAGTCCTAGATAATAGCTAGTCCACCTGGGAGCAGTGCCTCCTGGGGTTATGGGCAATGCAAATTGGTGGTCAAATCTAACTTCAGTTGAGCAGCCAAAAGTTAACTTAAATGGATCTGTGTAACACATTTCAAAGATAAGCCTCGCCCAAAGTGGCATAAGCTTAATATGCCTAGAGGGTACTTATCAGGTATTATTGAGCTTTAATGTATGATTGCTTGCATTTTAAGTGCTCTTAATATGGGCTAATTGTAACCTGTAATCTCATTCTAAGATGTGGGGGTCTTCATCTGGGTTTTCTTGAGAGGCAAACTACTGTAGTTTCATTTGCCATGTTATGAGTGGGCATGTAAATAGTTCCCATATAGCAGCTGTTACACAGAAAGTCGTCTTCTTTTAACTTGCTGTAATTTGTTTGTTTGTCCATGTCTCAACAAAGTCCAGAAGAATGTTTCTTCCCCTTGCCTGGGAAGTTATTTTTCACTGGGGCTACCAAGGAAGCTTACTCAGTGAAATTTCTCTTTGTTGTAGGGCAGCAAGAAACAAGTCCCCAAAGGTCACTACAGTTATTCATAGTTTCGTAGTTCATAGTTAGTAGGGTCAGAAGGGACCTGAGCAGATCATCAAGTCCGACCCCCTGCCATGGCAGGAAAGAATACTGGGGTTAAATGACCCCAGCAAGGTGATTGTCTACCCTTGTCTTAAAGACCCCCAGAGTAGGAGCCAGCACCACTTCGCTTGGAAGTTGGTTCCAGATCCTAGCCACCCTGACAGTGAAGTAGCGCCTCCTGATGTCTAATCTGAATTTACCCTCTGCCAGCTTGTGACCATTATTTCTAGTCACTCCTGGTAGTGCTTGGGGGAACAGGGACTCCCCCAATGCCTGCTGGTCCCTTCTGACTAGTTTGTACATGGCCACTAGATCCCCCCTCAGCCTCCTCTTGTGGAGGTTGAATAGGTTCAGGTCCC